TGTGGGACTACTAGCGGGCCTACCTGTGGGACTACTAGCGGGCCTACCTGTGGGTCTACCTGTGGGTCTACCTGTGGGACTACTAGCGGGTCTACCTGTGGGACTACTAGCGGGCCTACCTGTGGGTCTACCTGTGGGTCTACCTGTGGGTCTACCTGCGGGCCTACCTGTGGGACTACTAGCGGGTCTACCTGTGGGTCTACCTGTGGGCCTACCTGTGGGACTACTAGCGGGCCTACCTGTGGGTCTACCTGCGGGCCTACCTATGGGACTACTAGCGGGCCTACCTGTGGGTCTACCTGCGGGCCTACCTGTGGGACTACTAGCGGGTCTACCTGCGGGCCTACCTGTGGGACTACTAGCGGGCCTACCTGTGGGCCTACCTGTGGGACTACTAGCGGGTCTACCTGCGGGCCTGCCTATGGGACTACTAGCGGGTCTACCTGCGGGCCTGCCTACGGGACTACTAGCGGGTCTACCTGTGGGCCTGCCTATGGGACTACTAGCGGGTCTACCTGCGGGCCTACCTGTGGGACTACTAGCGGGTCTACCTGCGGGCCTGCCTATGGGACTACTAGCGGGTCTACCTGCGGGCCTGCCTACGGGACTACTAGCGGGTCTACCTGTGGGCCTGCCTATGGGACTACTAGCGGGTCTACCTGCGGGCCTACCTGTGGGACTACTAGCCGGTCTACCTGTGGGCCTACCTGCTCAAAATATGCCTGGAGGAGGGGTGGTTGCTCAGCTCAGCTGTTGCGCCCCCCCCCCTCCCTCTCTCGGGGACAAATAAAAAACAATGATCGGTGTTAATTCCACGTTGCTATGGCGGAGGCCGGTACATCCGCGGGCGGCGAAGCACGGCATTGTGGGCGACAGAGTGAAGCATTGGTCATCGTTCTCGGCTTTGTGGGTGGCCGCTTGCGAATGGACGCTGTTGGGTGCCACCCTCCAGTAACAACAACAACGACGATGATTATTATTATGAATAATAAAGATGCCTGTGTTCTCACTCGGCCACAGTCGCGCGCGTTTTTCTTTCCCTCTCGAAGTTCATTCGCTCTCGCGTCGTGGTCTATCCACTGCTCCTTTTCACAAATGTCCAGTATGTAAAAGTATTACATATTTAGAGTATTTGGCTACTATACATTTCCACACGATAAACCACTTCATGGCGCGCTGGTTAGCGCGCTACGCTACGAACCCGGCGACTCGAGTTCGATTATCGCTCACGGCCACCCACATCAGTGACGATTATTTAAACCGGTCCTGGACCTCCCCTAGGTCGACTCGGCCTCAAATCAGTACCTGGTGCGGTGTGTGAACATCGTAGTTGAGGAGACAAAGGCGGTCGGGCGTGGTGCTGGCCACCCACCCCCTCGTGTGCCGTGCCCGGCTTTCACAGGTGCAGCTCGCTAACAGCACTTGCCCCAACAGCCTGTTAAGGCTACACGGGGCATCTTTGTCTGTGTTGTGCCTTGCGTGCCGTTAGCTGCCAATCGATTGGGATAATTCGAGGGCCGCTCTCTCTTGCTGCTCAAGAGGGACCCCGCGGGAGAGAGGAGACAGGGACATTCCGCAAGGCACTCTCAGCTACAGGAGCGCCCTCTGCTCTCGCCCCCCCCCCCACCCTCTCCTCTCGCCCCCCCCCCCCCCCCCTCTCGCCCCCCCTCTTTTCTCTCGCCCCCCCCCCCTTTCTCGCCCCCCCTCTCGCCCTCCCCCTCTCTCTCCCCCCCTCTCGCCCCCCCCCCCGCTACCCCCCCTCTCGCCCCCTGCCCCCTCTCTCGCCCCCTCTCTCGCTCTCCCCTCTCTCGCCCCCCCCCCACTCTTCTCTCGCCCCCCCCCTTTCTCGCCCCCCCCCTCTCGCCCTCCTCTGTCTCGCTCCCCCCCTCTCGCCGCCCTCCCCACTACCCCCCCCCCCCTTCGCCCTCCCCCCTCTCGCCCCCTTCCCCTCCTCTCGCCCCCCCTCTCTCTCCTCTCGCCCCATTCTCTCGTTCCCCCTCTCGCCCTCCCCCTCGCGCACATGGAGAATCCGCGATATCTCACGAAGCAACAACAGCAACAACAACAGCAACAACAACAACAGCAGCAGCCAAGGAAGAACGACTCGGTACTGGTGGCGCCTGTGCGTGCGCGCGCTGCGATTTGGCAAGAGCCGGGAGTGCTCGATTGGGAGCGCGCGCGTCTCTTCCTCGGAAGCGTCCCCATGAGCATCGCACCTCCCCCATTAGCACGGTGCGTGTGTGTGCTCGCCGCGGTGGCTAGGAGATTCATCTTCTTGGTTGTTTCGGTAAAGTCACGTAGAATGGAAATAATAAAATAATAAAAATAAACATAATAAAATACAAGTCTCACGACGTTTCGGCCACAACGCAAGCAGCCGTCCTCAGGTGAAGAACAGGTCTGTCGAGAAGACAGAGTCTGAATGGTCAATCATCTTCTCGACAGACCTGTTCTTCACCTGAGGACGGCTGCTTGCGTTGTGGCCGAAACGTCGTGAGAATTGTTTTATTATGTTTTATTTGTATTATTTTATTATTTCCATTCTACGTGACTTTACCGAAAGAACCAAGAAGATGAATCCCTGCAGTCACGAAAGCTTTAAATCGAAATGGCTAGGAGATGTTAACTACCTCGCCTGGTACACTATGAGACTTCCTTTACCAGGGGCAAAATATAGTAGTAGGTTTTTACCTTTTAAACTGGTACAAAACTGACACCTTTATACAAGGTTTCATGTTTGCAATAACCACAACATAAGCAGTCAAAATGCAAACAAAAAGAAACAACCTCGCCTGGCATGTAGAAGGTCGTGGGTTCGATCACGATCGTGACACCTGCTGTATGAGTCTGCGTGTCTCTCTCTCTCATCATCATCATCACGGTGGCTAGGAGATGTTAACTACCTCGCCTGGTATGCAGGAGGTCGTGGGTTCGATCACGACCCTGACGCCTGCTGTATGAGTCTGCGTGTCTCTCTCTCATCATCATCATCACGGTGGCTAGGAGATGTTAACTACCTCGCCTGGCCTGCAGGAGGTCGTGGGTTCGATCACGATCGTGACACCTGCTGTATGAGTCTGCGTGTCTCTCTCTCATCATCATCATCACGGTGGCTAGGAGATGTTAACTACCTCGCCTGGTGAGCAGGAGGACGTGGGTTCGATCACGACCCTGACGCCTGCTGTATGAGTCTGCGTGTCTCTCTCTCATCATCATCATCACGGTGGCTAGGAGATGTTAACTACCTCGCCTGGTATGCAGGAGGTCGTGGGTTCGATCACGATCCTGACGGCTGTTGCTGTGTGTTTGGAGTTTACGTGTCTCTCTCTCTCTCATCAACATCACAGTGGCTAGGAGATGTTAACTACCTCGTCTGGTCTGCAGGAGGTCGTGGGTTCGAACCAAACCCTGACGGCTGTTGCTGTGTGTTTGGAGTTTGCGTGTTCTCGTGGTCGAGTGGATTTTTCTCCGGGCCCTCCGGGTTTTCCCCTCCACGTTTCGAATCGTATTTGGCTGCTATAAATGTCCACGCGGTAAGCCACTTCGTTGGGCTATCACTTGTGGTGGCCAGGTCGCTTCTAAAAAAAGCTATGTAGCTCAGTGGGCCTTACCTGGTAAAAAATAAAATTTGATTTAAAAAGTTTTTTTTTTATGTGCGTTAAACTTTCTTTGCACCGTACGTACCCTACCGAGCTAATCGGAGATGCGGGAGGGGGGGGGGGGATAGCAACACCACAACATAAAAGCAAATCACTTCTAAAGAAAGTAGTTTCCCCATCCAGATTTAAACGCGACTGACAACACGTGCCACGCGCTGAGCGTGCAGGGAGACGGCTCGAACCCCCGTGGGGGGGGGGGGGGGGGCGAATGGGTGAGTGAGCGGGTGACTCAAAGTAGCCCATTAGGTGGAGCGGGCGAGTGGTGGACATGCAGCGTGCCGCCCGCCCGGGCTGCAGGAGGACGCTTCGACCTGCAGACGAGACGGATCGGTCAAAGGTCAGATGATAGCCCCCCCCCCACCCAATCGTCCCCCCATCCCCCCCACTCCATCCCCTCCATCCCCACCCCTCCCACCCCATCCCCTCCCATCCCCCCACCCAATCGTCCCCCATCCCCCCAACCCATCACCCCCATCCCCCCATCCCCCTACCCCATCCCCCCACCCAATCGTCCCCCATCCCCACCCCCCCCACATCCCCCCCATCTCCTCCCATCCCCCCACCCAATCGCCCCCATCCCCCCATCCCCCCTACCCCATCACCCCCAACCCCCCCATCCCCCCACCCAATCGTCCCGCATCCCCACCCCCCCCACATCCCCCCCCACCTCACCCCACCCCCCACCCCACCGATCTCCCCTCGACCACCGCCAGTGGCGAGAAATCGACGAGGCGAAGTTGTTTTTGTTAAATTTCGATGTAAAGTTTCTTTCGTGACTGCAGGGATTCATCTTCTTGGTTCTTTCGGTAAAGTCACGTAGAATGGGAAATAATAAAATAATAAAAATAAAACATAATAAAACAATTCTCACGACGTTTCTGCCACAACGCAAGCAGCCGTCCTCAGGTCTGTCGGGTGAAGACCTGGTCTTCACCCGAGGACGGCTGCTTGCGTTGTGGCCGAAACGTCGTGAGAATTATTTTATTATGTTTTATTTTTATTATTTTATTATTTCTCTTCTACGTGACTTTACTGAAAGAACCAAGAAGAGGTTGTTTTTGTTAGTGAAGTTGTTGACTCGTTCGAGGCGGTGATGACTCCTTCCCCCCCCCCCCCGCGCCCTCCCTCCTCCCTCCTCCACCTTTGCCCGACGTCTTTGGAGTGGCCGAGGGGATCGATGTGGGAGGGGGGGTGCTGAGAGCTCTCGGCCACGATGATGGAAAAGTGGAGCCCCCCCCCCCATCCTCCTCCCCTGCTCCACCACACCCAGCAGTGTCCAGGCTGTGCGGCGAAGTCCACGTCTCATCGCTCGCCCCCCGTGAGCTTCCGTTGGGGGTGGACGGGGGGAGCAGCGAGGGGGGTGACCGGGGGGGTGGTGGTGGACGTCTCGAGGAGTCCGTGGGTCCGTCCAGGAGTCGAACTCTCGCCAAGGATGTTGCTCAGCCGCATGAAGGACCGCATCGTCAGCGGGAATCCCCTGACGCTCTACCGGTTGATCGGTGAGTTCTGGGACTTGACGTTTGTGTGTTGTGAGCGCTCAGCCAAGTGGCGGCTTATCATCGTCATCATCATCACGTGGACTTTCATAGCAGCAGCCAAATCATGTCAACGCGTGGTGATGTTGAGTCATCAACGCGGAGGGGAAAACATCGGAAGACCCGGAGTAAAATCCACGCGACCACGGGGAGAGAGAGAGACGCGCAAACTCCAAATATACAGCAGCAGGCGTCAGGGTCGGGATCGAATCCACGACCTCTTGTATACCAGGCGAGGTAGTTAACATCTCCTAGCCACCGTGATGATGATGATGAGAGAGAGAGACACGCAAACTCGAAATATACAGCAGCAGGCGTCAGGGTCGGGATCGAACCGACGATCTCCTGCATACCAGGCGAGGTAGTTAACATCTCCTAGCCACCGTGATGTTGATGATGATGAGAGACACGCAAACTCCAAATATACAGCAGCAGGCGTCAGGGTCGAGATCGAACCCACGACCTCCTGTATACCAGGCGAGGTAGTTAACGTCTCACCACGGGGAGAGAGAGACACGCAAACTCCAAATATACAGCAGCAGGCGTCAGGGTCGAGATCGAACCCACGACCTCCTGTGTACCAGGCGAGGTAGTTAACATCTCCTAGCCACCGTGATGATGATGATGAGAGAGGGAGACACGCAAACTCCAAATATACAGCAGCAGGCGTCAGGGTCGGGATCGAACCCACGACCTCCTGTACACCGGGCGAGGTCGTTAACATCTCGTCGCTTTAATTCCTCCCCACCACCACCACCTCCACCACCACCTCCCCCGTGCTTTGTCCCCCTCCCCCAGCGGCGTGGATCTGCTGCTGCTGCAGCTGCTGGCTCGGGCCGACGAGTGCCCAGGCGCCATGCGGCGGGCTGGAGGAGGACGTGACGGGGCAGGTCTTCTCGGTGGGCTACCCCGGGCAGTACCCCAACAACGCCAGCTGCGAGTGGCTCATCCCCGCGGGGCCCCTCGACTCGGTGACCCTGAGGGTCACCCTCCTGCAGGTGGAGCCGCACGAGACGTGCATCTTCGACAGGTGAGCGGGCCACGTGCGTCGTCATCGTCGTTGTCATCGTCGTCTTGATACCAAGATCCAGGATGGTCATCGTGTCTATGCGCCGCTTCTCGGTGGCAGCCCCAACAGTCTGGAACGCCGTCATCCCTCTGCACATTCGCAGCATCACCTTAATCGCCTCCTTCAAGAGACACTTACTAACTCACCTCTACAAGCCACGCGCTTTCGAGCGACTCTGAGCTTGGCTCCGCACCTCTGAGTTGCGGCCATTACATCCGCAAATTTTGCGCGCGTTACAAATTGAGCTATTATTATTAAAATCGTGATTGTTGTCATGATCGTCGTCGTCATAATCGTCAGTCATGGTCGTCGTCGTCATCGTTGTTGTCACCATCATCGTCATAATCGTCATCATAGTCGTCATCATCATCGTCGTCGTCATCGTCATCATCGGCATCACCATCGTCGTCATCAGTATTTGTATTTTTGTTTTCCATTTAAAGCTTTCGTGACTGCAGGGCTTAATATTATTGGTTCTTTCGGTAAAGTCACGTAGAAGGGAAATAATAAAATAATAAAAATAAAACATAATTTAATATTATGTTTTAATAATAAAATAATACAAATGAAACAATATAATATTACGTTTTATTTTTTATTATTTCCCTTCTACGTGACTTCACCGAAAGAACCAAGAATGTGTATTATCGTTGTCCCATGATGTAGCTGCTCACCCCGAGCCATCAATGCCCTGAGACGTGGTGGCATTGCCCTTGTGCTGTTCGCCTTTTGGCGTCGTTCTCTGCTCCGACACTCGTGGTGAGGCCATAAAGAAGGCCGCTGTCTCCGGTGTAGGACAATTACACACTGCCCACGTTTTGTCAGAGCGTGGTTGTTTCCACGTTCATCCAAAGTGCCGTGTGCGTGGCAAATACAGACTTGATTCCTTGCAAAAAGTTCCTATTTGGCGTTTGAACATCTTAAACACATCCTGTTTCACGGCCAGAAATGGGTAAAAACTAATTTTTATTTTTTTCACGTGTCACAACAAGCGAACGAGTGAATTCTAGATTTGAAGCTTTCGTGACTGCAAGGATTCATACTCTTAGTTGTTTCGGTAAAGTCACGTAGGTAAAAAATGAAATTAAAATTAATAAAAATAAATCACGACGTTTCGGAGGCAACACAAGTCTCCGTCATCAGGTGGGACCGTCACAGCCAGATGTGCTGTATCACTGGCTGTGAGGGTCCCACCTGATGACGGAGACTTGTGTTGCCTCCGAAACGTCGTGATTTATTTGTATTAATTTTAATTTCATTTTTTACCTACGTGACTTTACCGAAAAAACTAAGAGTACGAACGAGTGAATGAAAGTGAACGAATGTGAGAAGGCGGAGGAAGTCCACCATGTAGAACGTGGGGACAGAACACACAAACTCCACTCACTCACTCACCCACTCACCCAACATCATCAACATCATCACTGTCATCGTGATTGTCATCTTCATGATCATCGCTGTCATCACTTTCATCATTGCCGTCATTATCGCTGTCATCGTCGTCATCGTCATGATCATCGTCATCATCATCGTCGTCATTTTCATCATCCTCGTCATTTTCATCATCATCTTCATAACTGTCATCATTGTCATTGTCATCTTTATGATCATCGTCATCATCATTATCTTCATAACTGTCATCATCGTCATCATCATCGTCATCATCGTCATGATCATCGTCATGATCATCATCATTGTCATCATCATCGTCGTCATCGTCATCATCATCATCGTCATCATCATCATCGTCGTCATAATCGTCATCGTCATCATCATCATCGTCATCATTATCATCACCATCATCGTCATCATCACCATCATCGTCATCATCATTATCATCGCCGCCATAATCGTCATCATTGTCATCATGATCGTCATCATTGTCATCATGATCGTCATCATCATCATCACCATCATCATCACCGTCACCATCATCGTCATCATCGTCGTCGTCATCCTCACCGCGTGCCGCAGGCTGCTGATCACGATCCCTGCGTCTGGCGTGAGCGAGTTGCTGTGTGGGACGAACGCGTCGCGCTACGGGGAGATCGCGGGCCAGGGCGACGCGCGGCTCCTCTTCACCAGCGACTTCTCCCTCGTCGGCGGCGGATTCATCGTGCAGTACGAAGGTGCGCACTCTACAATCATCATCGTCATCATCGTGCAGTACGAAGGTGCGCACTCTACAATCATCATCGTCATCATCGTGCAGTACGAAGGTGCGCACTCTACAATCACCATCGTCATCATCGTGCAGTACGAAGGTGCGCACTCTACAATCACCATCGTCATCATCGTGCAGTACGAAGGTGCGCACTCTACAATCATCATCGTCATCATCGTGCAGTACGAAGGTGCGCACTCTACAATCATCATCGTCATCATCGTGCAGTACGAAGGTGCGCACTCTACAATCACCATCGTCATCATCGTGCAGTACGAAGGTGCGCACTCTACAATCATCATCGTCATCATCGTGCAGTACGAAGGTGCGCACTCTACAATCACCATCGTCATCATCGTGCAGTACGAAGGTGCGCACTCTACAATCATCATCGTCATCATCGTGCAGTACGAAGGTGCGCACTCTACAATCACCATCGTCATCATCGTGCAGTACGAAGGTGCGCACTCTACAATCATCATCGTCATCATCGTGCAGTACGAAGGTGCGCACTCTACAATCATCATCGTCATCATCGTGCAGTACGAAGGTGCGCACTCTACAATCATCATCGTCATCATCGTGCAGTACGAAGGTGCGCACTCTACAATCATCATCGTCATCATCGTGCAGTACGAAGGTGCGCACTCTACAATCATCATCGTCATCATCGTGCAGTACGAAGGTGCGCACTCTACAATCATCATCGTCATCATCGTGCAGTACGAAGGTGCGCACTCTACAATCATCATCGTCATCATCGTGCAGTACGAAGGTGCGCACTCTACAATCATCATCGTCATCATCGTGCAGTACGAAGGTGCGCACTCTACAATCATCATCGTCATCATCGTGCAGTACGAAGGTGCGCACTCTACAATCATCATCGTCATCATCGTGCAGTACGAAGGTGCGCACTCTACAATCATCATCGTCATCATCGTGCAGTACGAAGGTGCGCACTCTACAATCATCATCGTCATCATCGTGCAGTACGAAGGTGCGCACTCTACAATCATCATCGTCATCATCGTGCAGTACGAAGGTGCGCACTCTACAATCATCATCGTCATCATCGTGCAGTACGAAGGTGCGCACTCTACAATCATCATCGTCATCATCGTGCAGTACGAAGGTGCGCACTCTACAATCATCATCGTCATCATCGTGCAGTACGAAGGTGCGCACTCTACAATCACCATCGTCATCATCGTGCAGTACGAAGGTGCGCACTCTACAATCATCATCGTCATCATCGTGCAGTACGAAGGTGCGCACTCTACAATCATCATCGTCATCATCGTGCAGTACGAAGGTGCGCACTCTACAATCATCATCGTCATCATCGTGCAGTACGAAGGTGCGCACTCTACAATCATCATCGTCATCATCGTGCAGTACGAAGGTGCGCACTCTACAATCATCATCGTCATCATCGTGCAGTACGAAGGTGCGCACTCTACAATCACCATCGTCATCATCGTGCAGTACGAAGGTGCGCACTCTACAATCACCATCGTCATCATCGTGCAGTACGAAGGTGCGCACTCTACAATCATCATCGTCATCATCGTGCAGTACGAAGGTGCGCACTCTACAATCATCATCGTCATCATCGTGCAGTACGAAGGTGCGCACTCTACAATCATCATCGTCATCATCGTGCAGTACGAAGGTGCGCACTCTACAATCATCATCGTCATCATCGTGCAGTACGAAGGTGCGCACTCTACAATCATCATCGTCATCATCGTGCAGTACGAAGGTGCGCACTCTACAATCATCATCGTCATCATCGTGCAGTACGAAGGTGCGCACTCTACAATCATCATCGTCATCATCGTGCAGTACGAAGGTGCGCACTCTACAATCATCATCGTCATCATCGTGCAGTACGAAGGTGCGCACTCTACAATCATCATCGTCATCATCCTCGTCATCATCGTCGTCATCGTCGTCATCATCATCATCATCATCCTCGTCATCATCATTATCGTCATCATCGTCATCATCATCGTCATCCTCGTCATCATCATCGTCATCATCCTCGTCATCATCATTATCGTCATCATCGTCATCATCATCGTCATCCTCGTCATCATCATCGTCATCATCATCATCGAAAGAACTATGGACCTACGTCAAATCTTGATTTGAAGCTTTCGTGACTGCAGGAATCCATACTCTTTGGTTCTTTCGGTAAAGTCACGTGGGTAGAAGTGGTCGTCCGCTTGTGTTGCGATCGAAACGTCGTGATATATTATTTTTTGTTTTATTTTATTTTTCTACCTACGTGACTTTACCGAAAGAATAAAATAATAAAAATAAAACATAATGTTTTATTTTTATTATTTTATTACTTCCCTTCTACGTGACTTTACCGAAAGAACCAAGAAGATGAATCCCTGCAGTCACGAAAGCTTTAAATCGAAATTTACCGAAAGAACCAAAGAGTATGGAGCTACGGTAAAGCCACTGCGGTCTGCGCTCCTTCCACGGCGGGTGAGGAGGAGGAGGAGCGACAGGACGCGAACTCTGTCTCTCTGTGTCTGTCTCTCTCTCTGTGTCTCTGTCTCTCTCTGTCTCTCTCTCTCTGTGTCTCTCTCTGTGTGTGTCTCTCTCTCTGTGTCTCTGTGTCTGTGTCTCTCTCTGTGTCTCTGTGTCTCTCTCTCTCTGTGTCTCTCTCTCTCTCTCTGTGTCTCTGTGTCTGTGTCTCTCTCTGTGTCTCTGTGTCTCTCTCTGTGTCTGTCTCTGTCTTTCTCTCTGTCTCTGTCTCTCTCTGTCTCTGTGTCTCTCTGTCTCTCTGTGTGTGTCTCTCTCTCTGTGTGTCTCTCTCTGTCTCTCTGCTGAAGCTTTCTCGTCGCGGCAGCAGCAGGAGACATCGATATTAGCATCGAGCTCCTGAAGAACAGCATTTGCTGCCACGCACACACCAGAATAAAACATAATCTTAGTAACAACAACAACAATCATTCCAACCTGTTTTCGGCTAGATTGTCATTGCTGGTGATGCTGACGTTGCTGATGCTGCTGATGATTATGATGTTGATTACGATGATGCTGCTGCTGATGATTATGATTCTGCTGATGGCGATGATGATGATAATGATGCTGGTGCTGATAATGATGCTGGTGCTGATAATGATCCTGGTGCTCATGATGATGCTGCCGATGGCGATGATGATGATAATGATGCTGGTGCTCATGATGATGCTGGTGCTGATGATGATGATAATGATGCTGGTGCTGATAATGATGCTGGTGCTCATGATGATGCTGCCGATGGCGATGATGATAATGATGCTGGTGTTCATGATGATGCTGCCGATGGCGATGATGATGATGATAATGATGCTGGTGCTGATGATGATAATGATGCTGGTGCTGATAATGATGCTGGTGCTCATGATAATGCTCCTGCTGATGACGATGATGATGATAATGATGCTGGTACTGATAACGATGCTGGTGCTCATGATGATAATGATGCTGGTGCTGATAATGATGCTGGTGCTCATGATAATGATGCTGCCGATGACGATGATGATGATAATGATGCTGGTACTGATAACGATGCTGGTGCTCATGATGATAATGATGCTGGTGCTGATAATGATGCTGGTGCTCATGATAATGATGCTGCCGATGACGATGATGATGATAATGATGCTGGTGCTCATGATGATGCTGCCGATGACGATGGTGATGATAATGATGCTGGTGCTGATAATGATGCTGGTGCTGATGATGATGATAATGCTCCTGCTGATGATGCTGACAACGACGACGTGTCGCCCCGCAGTGACCCAGCGGAACCCGCCGTGTGAGTCTGCGCCGTGCCGCTTCGGCGGCTCGTGCGAGAACAAACTCACACGCTACGCCTGCTCCTGTCCCGCCGGCGTCACGGGGATCGACTGTGAGATCAGTGCGTGACGCACACGATCACGTGACGCACGCGGCACGAGCAGCACACTGTCACGTGAGGCACGCGGCACGAGCAGCACACTGCCACGTGACGCACGCGGCACGAGCAGCACACGTGATGCGCGGCGCGTGACGTGTTCACACGTGGCACGCGACGAGCCACGCGGGACACGTGGCGCGCGGCACGTGCAGCGCACGCGACACGATCACGTGACGCACGCGACACGATCACGTGACGCACGCGACACGATCACGTGACGCACGTGATCACGATCACGTGACGCACGTGATCACGATCACGTGACGCACGCGACACGATCACGTGACGCACGCGACACGATCACGTGACGCACGTGACACGATCACGTGACGCACGCGGAGCGTCACGCGAACGAGACGTTAAACGTCACGTGCCGCTATCTGGTGCGCAGGCGGTGCAACTGCCACTTGGGCCCCGTGATGGTGATGATGGTGATGGTGGTGATGGTGGTGATGGTGATGATGGTGATGATGGTGATGATGGTAATGGTGATGATGGTGATGATGGTGATGATGGTGGTGATGATGATGGTGATGATGATGATGGTGATGATGGTGATGATGGTGATGGTGATGATGGTGATGGTGATGATGATGATGGTGATGATGGTGATGATGATGATGGTGATGATGATGGTGATGGTGGTGATGGTGGTGATGGTGATGATGGTGATGATGGTGATGATGGTAATGGTGATGATGGTGATGATGGTGATGATGGTGGTGATGATGATGGTGATGATGATGATGGTGATGATGGTGATGATGGTGATGGTGATGATGGTGATGGTGATGATGATGATGGTGATGATGGTGATGATGATGATGGTGATGATGATGGTGATGATGGTGGTGATGGTGATGATGGTGATGGTGATGATGATGATGGTGATGATGATGATGGTGATGATGATGATGGTGATGATGATGATGATGGTGATGATGATGATGGTGGTGATGATGATGGTGATGATGGTGATGATGGTGATGGTGATGATGATGGTGGTGATGGTGATGATGGTGATGGTGATGATGGTGATGATGATGGTGATGATGATGGTGATGATGATGATCCGAGTCAACCTCCACGCGAAACGTGACACCCAACACGTGTTGACTTACCCACAGAATGAGTAGCTATTTTATCGACCGCCCCCCGGAGGTAGTGATGATGATGATGATGATAATTATCCGCGTCCATCCGCTCGCTCATCATTGCTGGAGGCCGCCTGATCAGCCAGCCGGCCCGGGTGGATTAAAATAAACTCGTTTTTGTATTTGACCGGTTAAGGCTCCACTAAGCTACGTAACACTTTTGCAGAAGCGACCCTGGCTGTCGCAAACTACAGCCTCGACGAAGTGAGCTCATCGTCATCACGTGGGCATTCATAGCAGCAGCAGCTGCTCAATACCTCTAAACGTGCGATGTCGATTCTAAATGTGGAGGGGAAACCCGGAGGACCCGGACAAAAATGCACGCGACCACGGGGAGAGAGACGCAAACTCCAAATATACAGCAGCAGGCGTCGTCAGAGTCGGGATCGAAGCCACGACATCCTGTACACCAGGCGAGGTAGTTAACATCTCCTAGCCACCGTGATGATGATGAGAGAGAGAGAGACACACAAACTCCAAATATACATCAGCAGGCGTCGTCAAGGTCGTGATCGAACCCACGACCTCCTGCACACCGGGCGAGGTAGTTAACATCTCCTAGCCACCGTGATGATGATGAGAGACACAAGCTCCAAATATACAGCAGGCGTCGTCAGGGTCGGGATCGAACCCATGACCTCCTGCGTACCGGACGAGGTAGTTAACATCTCCTAGCCACCGTGATGATGATGAGAGAGAGAGAGAGAGACACGCAAACTCCAAATATACAGCAGCAGGCGTCAAGGTCGTGATCGAACCCACGACCTCCTGTATTCCAGGCGAGGTAGTTAACATCTCGTAGCCACCGTGGCATCGACGGAGGCAGTCATCCAGCAGTGGATCGCGTGGCGTGAGGTGACCGGTGGGGACCCCCCCCCCCCACCCCGACGCAATGGGGGGCGCGTGCTCGCTCCTCCCCCTCCATCGGCCGCGTGCGTGCGCCTCACCGTAGAGGCGGGGGATGGAGTCGTTGGGTAATGATGCGTGAAATCGGAACACTCTCTCGTGCGTTACACCGGCATGCATCACCAGCCTGCCCCCCCCCCGCTCGGCCCCCACTCGGCCCCCACAGGCAGCCCCAACGAAGGGCGTGATGAGGGGTCGACCCCCTTCCCCACCACCCCCGCACGCCTTCACAGACCCCCTCCTCGCCCCTCCAGCCCCCCCACTCCTCTTACCCACCCACCCCGCCCCTCCACCCCCCCCCCCCATAACCCACACTCCCCTGCCCCTCCACCCCCCCGCCCCTCCACCCCCCACCCACCCCCGCCCCTCCACCCCCCCATAACCCACAACCCCGCCTCTCCACCCCCCCACTCATCTTACCCCCACCACCGCCCCTCCACCCCCACCCCCCTAACCCCCACCCACCCCGCCCCCAACGTGATCGAGATTGAATGTTGAAGGCGTGAAGAGAGTTGCTTCTCTGGACGATGGCACGGCGGTGGCGGCAGTGGCGGTGGCGGCAGTGGCGGCAGTGGCAGTGGTGGGGGGCTGTGTTGATGGATATCTGTTGGTCGCTCGGCCGAGATCTTTTTGTTTCGCATGGCCGAGGTCTAATGCGACGATAGGGCGAGATTCACGTTGTGGAAGCGGTGGGAATGAAATAAGGAGGAGGAGAAGGAGGATAAGCAAGAAGAACACCGAAGGGCGATGGAAATTTCGCGGCTCGGAACAACACAAATGTGTCGGCTCGTCTGTCTGTTTGTTTGTTTGTCTGTCTGTCTGTTTGTTTACCTTTCTCGTCCTGCCGACGGCAATCGACGCGCATCGCTCGTGAGGACGGGGCGAGCGCACGAGGTCGATCGCGGCCCACGTGGCACAGGGCGAGTGTCACGTGGCGAGTGTCACATGGCACAGGGCCTGCACGTGGCGAGTGTCACGTGACGAGTGTCACGTGGCCCAGGGCCTGCACGTGGTAAGTGTCACGTGGCGAGTGTCACGTGGCCGAGGGCCTGCACGTGGCGAGTTTCACGTGGTGTCACGTGGCGAGTGTCACGTGGCGAGTGTCACGTGGCCCAGGGCCTGCACGTGGCGAGTGTCATGTGGCCTGCACGTGGCCAGTGTCACGTGACGAGTGTCACGTGGCCCAGGGCCTGCACGTGGCGAGTGTCACGTGGCGAGTGTCACGTGGAGAGTGTCACGTGGCACAGGGCGAGTGTCACGTGGAGAGTGTCACGTGGCCCAGGGCCTGCACGTGGCGAGTGTCACGTGGAGAGTGTCACGTGGCCCAGTGGCTGGGGGCTGAACGTGGTTCCCATGGGGGGGGGGGGGGGAGACATTTCTCATTCGCAGAGACCACGAAACCCCACACAGCTCACCAGTGTCTGTGTCTCTCTGTGTCTGTCTCTGTGTCTGTCTATCTGTGTCTGTGTCTCTCTCTGTCTCTCTGTGCCTGTCTCTCTGTGTCTGTTTGTGTCTCTCTCTCTGTCTGTGTCTCTCTGTTTCTGTGTCTCTCTGTGTCTCTCTGTCTCTCTGTGTCTGTGTCTCTCTGTGTCTGTGTCTCACTGTGTCTGTGTCTCTCTGTGTCTGTCTATCTGTGTCTGTGTCTCTGTGTTTGTGTCTCTCTCTGTCTCTCTGTGTCTGTTTGTGTGTGTCTCTCTCTCTGTCTGTGTCTCTCTGTTTCTGTGTCTCTCTGTGTCTCTCTGTGTCTGTGTCTCTCTGTGTTTGTGTCTCTCTGTGTCTGTGTCTCTCTGTGTCTGTCTCTCTGTGTCTGTGTCTGTCTGTGTCTCTCTGTGTCTGTCTCTCTGTGTCTGTGTCTCTGTGTCTGTCTCTCTGTGTCTGTGTCTCTCTGTGTCTCTCTGTGTCTGTCTCTCTGTGTCTGTGTCTCTCTGTGTCTGTCTCTGTGTCTCTCTGTGTCTCTCTGTGTCTGTCTCTCTGTGTCTGTGTCTCTCTGTGTCTGTCTCTCTGTGTCTGTGTCTCTCTGTGTCTGTCTCTCTGTGTCTGCGTCTCTCTGTGTCTCTCTGTGTCTGTCTCTCTGTGTCTGTGTCTCTCTGTGTCTCTCTGTGTCTGTGTCTCTCCCCACGTCTCTGTGCAGACATAGACGACTGCGAGCCGAATCCGTGCCAGAATGGAGCGCGGTGCGAGGATGGCCTCGACTCGTTCCTGTGCGCGTGTGAGCCGGGCTTCATCGGAGAGCTCTGCGAGACCGGTACGGGCACCGCCACAACCATCACCACCAATCACCACCATCATCACCACCATCACCACCACCATCACCATCACCACCAATCACCAATCACCACCACCACCACCATCACCACCAATCACCACCACCATCAACACCACCACTATCACCACCACCACCATCACCACCACCATCACCGCCACCACCATCACCACCACCAATCACCACCATCACCACCAATCACCTCCACCACCGCCACCATCACCACCACCACTATCACCACCACCACCATCACCCCCACCATCACCACCACCACCATCACCACCATCACCACCACCATCACCACCACCATCACCGCCACCACCATCACCACCACCACCAATCACCACCACCACCATCACCACCAATCACCACCACCATCACCACCACCACTATCACCACCACCACCATCACCACCAATCACCACCACCATCACCGCCACCACCATCACCACCACCACCAATCACCACCACCACCATCACCACCAATCACCACCACCGCCACCACCACCACTATCACCACCACCACCATCACCCCCACCATCACCACCACCATCACCACCATCACCACCATCACCACCACCATCACCACCACCACCATCACCACCACCATCACCACCACCATCACCGCCACCACCATCACCACCACCAATCACCACCACCACCATCACCACCAATCACCACCACCACCGCCACCATCACCACCACCACTATCACCATCACCACCACCACCATCACCACCACCATCACCACCACCACCATCACCACCAATCACCACCACCGCCACCATCACCACCACCACTATCACCACCACCACCATCACCACCACCATCACCACCAATCACCACCACCATCACCGCCACCACCATCACCACCAATCACCACCACCATCACCACCACCACTATCACCACCACCACCATCACCACCAATCACCACCACCATCACCGCCACCACCATCACCACCACCACCAATCACCACCACCACCATCACCACCAATCACCACCACCGCCACCATCACCACCACCACTATCACCACCACCACTATCACCCCCACCATCACCACCACCATCACCACCACCACCATCACCACCATCACCATCACCACCATCACCACCACCATCACCACCACCACCATCACCACCATCACCACCACCAATCACCACCACCATCACCACCAATCACCACCACCACCGCCACCATTACCACCACCACTATCACCACCACCATCACCACCACCATCACCACCACCATCACCACCATCACCACCATCACCACCACCATCACCGCCACCACCATCACCACCACCATCACCACCACCACCACCATCACCACCACCATCACCACCACCATCACCGCCACCACCATCACCACCACCACCATCACCACCACCATCACCACCACCACCATCACCACCACCATCACCACCACCATCACCACCACCACCATCACCACCACCACCATCATCACCACCACCATCACCACCACCATCACCACCACCATCACCACCACCATCACCACCACCACCACCATCACCGCCACCACCATCACCACCACCAATCACCACCACCACCATCACCACCAATCACCACCACCACCACCGCCACCATCACCACCACCACTATCACCCCCACCATCACCACCACCATCACCACCACCATCACCACCAGTGGGGGGGGGGGGGGTAGTGGGGGGGGTTAGTGGGGGGTGTAGTGGAGGGGGTGTAGTGGGGGGGGGTGGTAGTGGGGGGGTGTAGTGGGGGGAGGTGTAGTGGGGGGTGTAGTGGGGGGGTGTAGTGGGGTGGTGTAGTGGGGTGGTGTAGTGGGGGGGTGTAGTGGGGGGGTGGTGTAGTGGGGGGGTGTAGTGGTGGGGGTGGTGTAGTGGGGTGGTGTAGTGGGGGGGGTGGTGTAGTGGGGAGGTGTCGTGGGGGGGTGGTGTAGTAGGGGGGTGGTGTAGTGGGGGGGGTGTAGTGGGGAGGGTAGGGGGGGGTGTAGGGGGGGGTGGTGTAGTGGGGTGGTGTAGTGGGGGGGTGGTGTAGTGGGGAGGGTAGGGGTGGTGTAGTGGGGGGGGTGTAGTGGGGGGGTGCGGTGGGGGTGGTGTAGTGGGGTGGTATAGTGGGGGGGGGGTGTAGTGGGGGGGTGTAGTGGGGGGGTAGTGGGGTGGTGTAGTGGGGGGTGTAGTGGGGGGGGTTGTGTAGTGGGGGTGGTGTAGTGGGGGGTGTAGTGGGGGGGTAGTGGGGTGGTGTAGTGGGGTGGTGTAGTGGGGGGGTGGTGTAGTGGGGAGGGTAGGGGTGGTGTAGTGGGGGGGTAGTGGGGGTGTTAGTGGTGGGGTGTGTATGTTTAGTGGCTGTCTCCGTGCGTGCGAGATGTGGACGAGTGCGCCTCCAGCCCGTGCCGCAGCGGGGGCAAGTGCGTGGACGGCGTCGACTCGTACCGCTGCGACTGCCCCCCGGGATTCGCGGGGGGCGACTGCGAGACGGGTGGGTGCACGCGTGCGTGCTAGGGTGCGTGGGTGGGTGGGTGTATGGGTGCGTGGGTGCATGAATGGGTGGGTGTACGCGTGGGTGCTAGGGTGTATGGGTGCGTGGGTGTGTGGGTGCGTGGGTGCATGAATGGGTGGGTGCATGCGTGGGTGGGTGGGTGGATGCGTGGGTGGGTGGGTGGGTGCGTGGGTGCTAGGGTGCGTGGGTGCGTGGGTGGGTGCGTGGGTGCGTGGGTGTATGGGTGCGTGGGTGCATGGGTGGGTGGGTGCGTGCGTGGGTGGGTGCGTGGGTGGGTGCATGGGAGCATGCGTGGGTGGGTGCGTGTGTGGGTGCGTGGGTGGGTGCGTGGGTGGGTGTGTGGGTGCGTGGGTGCATGCGTGGGTGGGTGCGTGGGTGGGTGCGTGGGTGCATGTGTGGGAGCGTGTGTGGGTGGATGCATGGGTGGGTGCGTGGGTGCATGTGTGTGGGGGAGCGTGGGTGGGCGCGTGCGTGCGTGCGTGGGTGTGTGGGTGGGTGCGTGGGTCCATGTGTGTGGGGGAGCGTGGGAGAGTGCGTGCGTTAGAGAGTGCGTGCGTAGGTGTGTGGGTGGGTGCGTGCGTGGGTGGGCGCGTGCGTGGGTGGGTGCGTGCGTGGGTGTATGGGTGGGTGTGTGGGTGGGTGCGTGGGTGCGTGGGTGTGTGGGAGTGTGGGTGGGTGTGTGGGTGTGTGGGTGGGTGTGTGGGTGCGTGGGTGCGTGGGTGGGTGGGTGCGTGCGTGGGTGTGTGGGTGTGTGGGTGGGTGCGTGGGTGCTAGGGTGCGTGCGTGGGTGGGTGCGTGCGTGGGTGTATGGGTGCGTGGGTGTATGCGTGTGTGGGTGCATGAATGGGTGGGTGCATGCGTGTGTGGGTGGGTGCGTGGGTGCATGTGTGTGGGGGAGCGTGGGTGGGTGCGTGGGTGGGTGCGTGGGTGCATGTGTGCGTGCGTGCGTGGGAGCGTGCGTGGGTGCGTGCGTGCGTGGGTTCATACGTGGGAGCGTGCGTGCGTGCGTTGGAGCAAGTGCTGTTAGCGAATAGCAGCACCTATGAAGGCCGGCACTGTGGCACACGAGGGGGTGGGTGGCCAGCCAACACCAATCCCGGCCGCCTCTGTATCCCCAGATGTTCGCTACACACCACCGCACGGGGTATTCATTTGAGGTTGAATCGACCTAGGGGAGGCCCAAGACCGGTTCGGATAATCGTCAATGCTGTTGGTCACATACACACACAAACACACAAACACACGCAAATATACTAACACACACACACAAACACACGAACACACACAACAACAGCCATTCACCACTAAGTGACGGTGACATCACCACGACGCTCGTGCCAGGCGATGTGCACGTTGAGGCCACGTGAAGTGTCGAACGCCCGCTGACAGGATGTCACGGGGCATACCCAGATGCCACGGGTCGACTGACCGAGATGACTGAGATGAGTGGCTGATGCACCACATGTGGCCCCTCCTGTGCCAACTTGCTGTGCTTTAGCCACCCGGCGCTCCGCTCGTTGTTGTGAGCGTCGCTCCTCCGCCCTCTATTGTTGCTGGAGGGTGACTGCCTTCAATTGCCCAGTAGCATCCTTCACGAGCCTCCTCCACAGAGGCCGATCTTGACACCGATGGTACTAGTCATCGGCAAGTCCACTCAGCTCAACGTCTTCCTGTACCACATCACTCCATTTCTTCTTTAACCCGTGCCGTGCCCGTTTAGCCCCCTCGATCCGGCCGAACAAAAGCTGTTTGGGCATGTGGTGATTGGGCATGCGGGCTACATGGCCCAGCCAACGCAGCCTTGCCTGCCGGAGGTGCTCACCGATGGGACTTTGTCCAGATCTTTCGAGGATTTGTGAGTTCCTTACACAAAACAGCATGGTTAAACCCAGGATTGATCGTAGGCAGTCCAGCCTATTTTTTTCTAACTGGCGAAGATGTTCCATTAGGGGGGTCTACGTTTCACAAGCGTAGAGAAGGGAGGGAATGACTGTGGCCGAGAAGACCCGAAGCTTCGTGCGGAGCGACAGACCAGGTAGCTTCCACACAGCGTTACGCAACCGATGAAAAGATATTGCCGCTCGACTGATTCGGAGTGAGACCTCTGCTGTTAAACCGGAGCCGGTCATGAGCACACTGCCCAGGTATGTGAAACTCTCCACTCTCTCCACAACTGCCCCATCACCGATTGGGAGTTGTGGTGGTGAAGTGCCCGATGGTACAAAATACCCAGGCAGGTGCTTCGTTTTGGTGGGTCTGATGGTAAGGCCCCATCTCTTAGTGGCACGCTCCAGTTTCAGCAGCAGCGCCTCAAACTCCTCTTGTGAGTGAGCTGCAATTAACAGGCCGTCGGCATACATAACGTGGTTGACCAATACACACACACACAGACGCACACAACAACAACCGCCATTCGCCACTAAGTGGCGGTGACGTCACCACGACGCTTGTGCCAGGCCATGTGCACCTTGAGGCCACGTGAAGTGTCGAACGCCCGCTGGCAGGAGGTCACGGGGCAGACCCAGCAGGTGCCACGGGTCGACTGACCGAGATGACCGAGTTGACCGAGATGACTGGCTGATGCACCACCTGTGCCCCCTACTGTTGCCAACTTGCTGTGCTTACAGACACATACACACACGACGTCACCGCGGTGCCTGTGCCAGGCCAGGCGCTGGCATGGGGGAGGTCACCGGCAGGAGGCCCCAGCTGGTGCCGTGGGGGAGAGGGAGGGGTTGACTGACGACTGGCCGGTGTTACCAGCTGTGCGCACACCCCTCGCCTTGTCCTGCCACCTGTCCGCACGTGACGCACAGCAGATGTGGACGAGTGCGGTTCGGGGCCCTGCCAGAACGGCGGCACGTGCACGGACCGCGTGGCGTCCTACAGCTGCGAGTGCCGCCCGGGATACGTGGGCACGCACTGCGAGACGAGTAGGGGCCGATTTTACATCGACGTCGTCGTCACTGTCGTCATCTTCGTCGTCGTCGTGTTTGTCATCGTCGTTGTCGTCATCATCGTCATCATCGTTGTCGTCATCTTCATCGTCGTCGTCATCCTCATCATCGTCATCATCATCGTCGTCGTCGTCGTCATTGTCGTCGTCGTTGTCATCGTCATCGTCGTCATCATTAGTCATCATTGTCACCATTATGATCATTACAATCATCATTGTTATTTTTTATCATCATCATCATCATAGGCATTATTGTCATCATCATTGCCATCTTTATCGTCATCATCGTCATCATTCTCGCCATCATTGTCGTCATCTTTATCGTCATCATCGTCATCATTCTCGCCATCATTGTCGTCATCTTTATCGTCATCATCATCGTCGTCATCATATCGTCATCATTGTCGTCATCTTCATCGTCACAATCGTCATCATTGCCACGGGGGGCACCAGCGAGGCAGGCGGTGACGCTGGCGAATCACGGCCTCGCCTGGGCTCGACTCCCAACCCGGGCGCAGCGCTGTGGTGGAGGTGGAGGTGATGGTGATGATGATAATGGTGGAGGTGATGGTGACGGTGGTGACGATGATGATGGTGACGATGGTGATGGTGATGATGGTGGCGATGGTGATGGTGGCGATGCTGATGGTGACGATGGTGGTGATGATGATGGTGACGATGGTGATGGTGACGATGGTGGCGATGGTGGCGATGGTGGTGGTGATGATGGTGATGATGACGATGGTGACGATGGCGATGGTGGTGATGGTGGCGATGGTGGTGGTGATGATGGTGACGATGGTGGTGATGATGATGGTGACGATGGTGGTGATGGTGATGATGGTGACGATGACGATGGTGACGATGGTGATGGTGGTGGAGGTGATGGTGGCGATGGTGGAGTTAATGGTGATGATGGTGATGGTGGCGATGGTGATGGTGGTGGAGCAGTGGCGGCTCGTCAATAGAGGGCGCAGGGGCGCCGCCCCCATCAATATTCCAGAAATATACATATACAAAATTTATATAAAAATACATAAATAAAATATTTTTTTCATACGATGTGCCGGCTGGTAGTAAGAAAAGCATCAGCATTTAATAAAAACTGGCTTTAATCGGTCAACTATTTTCTATGTTTTTCAATGTGTTTCATGCGGGGCGCCGGACAAATGGATGTCTATGTGAGACTTTACATTTTCGGACAGCATGTGACCTGAAGCTGGTCTCTAATTGGTTTCTTAAAGATTCTCCTCGGGGCGCAAGTCGTTGCGTCCCTGGCCAATCAGAATTGGATACATGTTATTTTATCCAATCTGATTGGTTCTCGTCACCTGTCATTCAAATTTACGCTGTAGGCCACTACTGCGAGTGCGAAGGCGACACCACTTTGACACTTGCTAGGCTGATCAAATTTTTTGTGTAAACAATGGCAGCAGTTCATCCAAATTCTGTAATTTATTTACAAAAAAAACCCTTTCACAAGGCTTTCGCTGGAAGAAATAAAAAAGATAAAGGATCTCGGACCGGACCAACCCGATTTACAAATCCAGCAGCAGGCCAGTGACAGAGGACGAAGCTACACACGAAGCTTCACCCGCGCTTGTTATGAGAAACGGAGGTGGCTGGCTGGATGTGATGTTAGCAATTCTCTTTTTTGTTTTCCCTGTCTTTTATTTCAAAGTGTCGGCACTGAAGTTTTGTGGACAACGACGGGGGTAAGAGACCTCAAACATCTCTCTGACAAATGCAAACGTCATGAAAGTAGCCGCAGCCATATTGATAATAGCATGAAACTAACGTTTTTATGTTCAAGTAGGAAACATGCTTTTTGGTACTTTGGTCTGAAATGTATATAAAAGAGAAACATTTATGTTCAAGTAGGAAACATGCTTTTTGGTACTTTGGTCTGAAATGTATTTAAAAGAGAAACATTTATGTTCAAGTAGGAAACATGCTTTTTGGTACTTCTTTTGGTCTGAAATGTAAATAAAGATCATCAAAATTTATATTCAAGTAGTCAAAATGGCTTTTGGTACTGCTTTATATTTATTTGCCCCCCTCAATAAAATTTAAAAAATGCGCCCCCCCAAAAATAAATATCACCAGCCGCCACTGTGGTGGAGGTGATGGTGACGATGGTGGCGATGGTGGAGTTGATGGTGATGATGGTGATGGTGGCGATGGTGATGGTGGTGGAGGTGATGGTGACGATGGTGGCGATGGTGGAGGTGATGGTGGAGGTGATGGTGATGATGGTGACGATGGTGACGATGACGATGGTGGTGATGGTGGAAGTGATGGTGGTGATGGTGGTGGAGGTGACGATGACGATGGTGACGATGGTGATGGTGGCGATGGTGGCGGTGGAGGTGGTGATGATGGTGACGATGGTGGCGATGGTGATGGTGGTGGAGGTGATGGTGACGATGGTGGCGATGGTGGTGATGATGATGGTGACGATGGTGGCGATGGTGACGATGACGATGGTGACGATGACGATGGTGATGGTGGCGATGGTGACGATGGTGACGATGGTGATGGTGGTGGAGGCGATGGTGACCATGGTGTTGATGTTGCTGTGTGAGGGGTGGACGCGTGCAGCTCGTCTCCGTGCAGGAACGCGGCGCTCTGCGTGCCGCTGGAGGGCGCCTGGCGCTGCGAGTGCCTCGCGGGCTACGCCGGACACGACTGTGCCCAAGGTGAACACAGGCAAAGCGCCCCCAGGTAGCCTCTAGGCAAAGACTCCCCCAGGTAGCCTCTAGGCAAAGACTCCTCCAGGTAGCCTCTAGGCAAAGCGCCCCCAGGTAGCCTCTAGGCAAAGCGCCCCCAGGTAGCCTCTAGGCAATGAGCCCCCAGGTAGCCTCTAGGCAAAGAGCCCCCAGGTAGCCTCTAGGCAAAGACTCCCCCAGGTAGCCTCTAGGCAAAGCGCCCCCAGGTAGCCTCTAGGCAAAGCGCCCCCAGGTAGCCTTTAGGCAATGAGCCCCCAGGTAGCCTCTAGGCAAAGAGCCCCCAGGTAGCCTCTAGGCAAAGAGCCCCCAGGTAGCCTTTGAACAGACCCGTAGGGCAAGTGCTGAGGACCAATGTACGAGGCGGTGGGTGCCAATAAAATGCAATTACAAAATATAAATATATATATACCTGCATGTACACGTAAGACAAAGATCCTCCAGGTAACAGACTGGATGTCTCCCCAGTGCTCGCGACGTTCACTACACACCGCACCAGGTACTCATTCGAGGCTGAGTCGACCTAGGGGAGGCCCAGCACCGGTGTTGGTGGCCGTGAGCGGGAATCGAACCTCGGTGTCCCAGGTCCGTAGCGCAGCGTGGCGCTAACCGTGCTGCCCCCCCCCCCGTGCTGCCCCCCCCCCGTGCTGCCCCCCCCCCGTGCTGCCCCCCCCCCGTGCTGCCCCCCCCCCGTGCTGCCCCCCCCCGTGCTCCCCCCCCCCCCGTGCTGCCCCCCCCCCCCGTGCTGCCCCCCCCCCCGTGCTGCCCCCGTGCTGCCCCCCCCGTGCTGCCCCCCCCCGTGCTGCCCCCCCCCGTGCTGCCCCCCCCCCGTGCTGCCCCCCCCCCCGTGCTGCCCCCCCCCCCATGCTGCCCCCCCATGCTGCCCCCACGTGCTGCCCCCGTGCTGCCCTCGTGCTGCCCCCACGTGCTGCCCCCGTGCTGCCCCCGTGCTGCCCCCCCCCCGCGCTGCCCCCCGTGCTGCCCCACGTGCTGCCCCCCCCCCCCCCCCGCGCTAGACATTGACGAGTGCGAGTCCGGGCCGTGCCTCAACGGAGGGACCTGCACCGACGGCATCGACTCCTACAACTGCAGCTGCCAGGCCGGGTTCTCCGGGTTCCACTGCCAGATCGGTAACGCGCACACACACTCACACACAGGCACACGCACTCACGCGGGCACACACACATAGGCACACTCACACACGCACACACACAGGCACACGCACACACTCACACACACGCACAAGCACACACTCACACTCACGCGCACACACACACGCGCACTCACACAGGCACACACACTCACACACACGCAGGCACACACACACAGGCACTCACACACACTCACACACACGCACAAGCACACACTCACACTCACGCGCACACACACTCACACACGCGCACTCACACAGGCACACACACTCACACACACGCAGGCACACACTCACACACGCACACACACATACTCACGCAGGCACACTCACACACATACGCACACTCACGCACACACGCACACACAGGCACACACACACGCACGCACAGGCACGCACACACAGGCACACTCACACTCACGCACACACAGGCACACACACACTCACGCACAGGCACACGCACTCACGCACATTCACGCACACACAGGCACAGGCGCACACACTCACACTCACGCACACTCACACAGGCACACACAGGCACACATACACACCCACTCACACAGGCACACGCACACACACACAGACACTCACACACACGCACTCACACGCACGCACACACACTCACGCACACGCACACACTCGCATACACACACTCACACACACGCAGGCACACTCACACACTCACGCACACATACACACACACACGCACACACACACTCACACACACAGGTACACACACTCACACACACTCACACACTCACACACACTCACACACACACACGTACACACACACGCACACACACACTCACACACACAGGTACACACACTCACACACACACTCACACACACGGATACACACACTCACACACACTCACACACTCAGACACACTCACACACACGTACACACACACACGCACACACACACAGGTACACACACTCACACACACTCACACACGCAGGCACACTCACACACTCACACAGGCACACACACGCACGCACACACACGTGCACTCACACAGGCACACGCACGCACACACTCACGCACACACAGGCACACGCACGCACACACTCACACTCACGCACACACACACTCACACACAGGCACACGCACACACACTCACACACACACACTCACGCACGCACAGACACACGCACACACTCACGCACACACACTCATGCACACACAGGCACACGCACGCACTCACACACATAGGCACGCACACAGACACGCACACACACACGCACACACACGCACTCACACTCACGCACACACAGGCACACACACACTCACATGCACACACACAGCCACGCACACACACACGCACTCACACTCACATACACTCACACACACACGCACACACTCACGCACATACACTCACACAGGCACACGCACTCACACACACGCACTCACTCACACACTCACACACATGCACACACACACGCAGAGGGCTGTGCACGCGCGTGCACAACGCTGCGACACTTACGACCCATCACGAAGAGCCCTTCCACCCCCCACCACCTCGTGGCGTGACCCGTCAGGTCCCGCACCGACCAACGGGCTGGTGCTGACACGCGCGTGTGCGGCCGCGAGATTACGGCCTCCACCGCCCGCTGCTGGCAGATAACCCTGGCCGCCCTCTGACCTCCCCCCCCCAACTCCCACCTTCACCTCGGGCGCTTATCTCCCGTGCCCCGGGCCCTCGCTTAGTGACCGCTGAGTGAGGAGTTTCAAAGGGCCGTCGCGTGCCCAGCGATTCGAGATGATGATGATTCACACCGATGCTCAACTCGATAATTGTTTTTTTTTACCCTTCTATCTGGCAACAAAACTGACACCTTGTTTTTACAAGGAGTCATGTTTACATAGACCGCAATACCTGCAGTGATAATGCAAACAAAAACATAACTCTGATAATGTGCACTGTCCTTAAAGTGCGCCTTTTGGAGTCATCTGGTCCAACCCATGTGAGACTAGGCTCTAAGGAAAGCTGTCTCGGGTGTGGACCAATCAACTTCAAGGACAATGCACATTATCAGAGTTATATTTTTTGTTTGCATTATGACTGCAGGTATTGTGGTCAATGCAAACATGACTCCTTGTAAAAACAAGGTGTCAGTTTTGTGGCCAGATAGAAGGGTAAAAAACCAATTATCATATTTTTACTGGCAAATGAGGTTCCAATGGTGATGCTCAACTCGTTTAACACGCAGTAGTAGCAGCAGCAGCAGGGATTTTGCGACCAATATTATCAATGACAGATCGTTTTTTTTGTTGGGGGGCAGAGGGGACAGTGCCGGACTAAGCTAGTGCGGTGCTTGTGACATATATTATAAAGAGGCCTTAAATAAAAAAAAATTGTAAGTATGAAAACAACAAATTTTTTTACTTGCACAGTAAAGTAATTGTATTCTTTCATTTGCTATGCAGCCAGATAATACGACAAATCGCGAACCTTAAACACCCAGTCGTTCATTAAAGTTGAAGGCGGTATAGTACTATAGCAATAGAGCGAGTGCAGAATCGCTGAACCGGAGTTGATAGCTTGAAAGCATTCAGCGCGGGGCCCTTGAAAGTGCGGGGCCCGTAGCTACTACACGTGTGTAGTAGCTACTACACATGTAGCTACTACACACGTGTAGCCACTACACGTGTAGCTACTACACGTGTAGCTACTACACGTGTAGCTACTACACGTGTAGCTACTACACGTGTAGCCACTACACGTGCAGCTACTACACGTGCAGCTACTACACGTGCAGCTACTACACGTGCAGCTACTACACATGCAGCTACTACACATACAGCTACTACACGTGCAGCTACTACACGTGCAGCTACGACACGTGTAGCTACTACACGTGCAGCTACTACACGTGCAGCTACTAGACGTGCAGCTACTACACGTGCAGCTACTACACGTGCAGCTACTACACGTGCAGCTACTACACGTGTAGTAAGAGCATAGGATTATTTTTATTAGAAAATTCACTTCTCATCTCCAGCTGCTTGGTGGTGCCACGCCCCAACGCCCCTAGTGGACGAACCGCCTCGCCCTGACGTCATAAACGCTGCGTCACGTGGTCACGAACAGCCGTTGGTCGTCAAATGGTTGCGTGGCCCAGGCGCACACATTCACAACGTCAGCTGTTGAATCTGATCATGATGATGGCTTGTGGATGATGTTGATGATTGTAAATGATGATGGCCAAGTTGATGATGACGATGATGATTATGACGATGTGGATGATGACGACAGCAATGACGACGACGATGATGATGATGATGATGATGTTGTTGACGATGTTGATGACGATGATTATGACGATAACGATGTTGATAATGTTAATGACGACGATGACGTTGATAACGATGTTGATGACGATTATGATTATGACGACGTTGATGAAGATCTTCTTGGTTCTTTCGGTAAAGTCACGTAGAAGGGAAGTAATAAAATAATAAAAATAAAACTTAATAAAATCATTCTCACGACGTTTCGGCCACAACGCAAGCAGCCGTTGTGGCCGAAACGTCGTGAGAATTATTTTATTATGTTTTATTTTTATTATTTTATTACTTTCCTTCTACGTGACTTTACTGAAAGAACCAAGACGATGAATCCCTGCTGTCACGAAAGCTTTAAATCGAAAAAAGTTGATGACGATGTTGATGACGATTATGACAATAACGATGTTGATGTTAATGATGACGACGATACTGTTAATGACGATGGTGATGACGTCGACGACGATGTGAATGCCGTGCAGATGAAGTGTTCGTGGCGAATCTCATCGGCTGGATCGTCGGCTTCCTGGTGCTCTCGCTGACTCTCTTCCTCACGATCCGCTGCCACAGGAAGCACGGCTGCCTCCGCAAGAGAGGTAACGGAGCTCCCACGTCACCGTTGGTATCCATGGCCCCTGCCACAAGAACGTGGAATGTTACACCGCGAGCGGTACGGAGGCGCGAGCCCGGTCCCGTGGGAGACACCTGGGAGTTTGGCTCGGCTTGGGGTTGGCAACCCTCCCCCCGGATTGGCAGGGAGTCTCTACCGGAATTGGCATTGATCTTCTCCCGGTGACTATTGAGAGCTGTTTGGGTGGTCGAGTGGGTCAGTAGGTGGGTGGATGGGTGATTGGGTGGGTGGTTGGGTGGGTGAGTAGGTGGGTAGGTGGGTGGATGGGTGATTGGGTGAGTGGTTGAGTGGCTGAGTAGTTGAGTGGGTGAGTCGGTGGGTGGATGGGATATTGGGTGAGTGGTTCGGTGGGTGAGTAAGGTGGGTGGATGGGTGATTGGGTGGGTGGGTGGTTGAGTGGGTGAGTAGGTGGGTGGATAGGTGATTGGGTGAGTGGTTGAGTGGTTGAGTGGGTGAGTAGGTGGGTGGATGGGTGATTGGGTGGGTGGTTCAGTGGGTGAGTGGGTGGTTGAGTGGGTGAGTAGGTGGGTGGATAGGCGATTGGGTGGGTGGGTGGTTGAGTGGGTGAGTGGATGGGTGATTGGGTGGGTGGTTGAGTGAGTGAGTAGGTGGGTGGATAGGTGATTGGATGAGTGGTTGAGTGAGTGAGTAGGTGGGTGGATAGGTGATTGGGTGAGTGGTTGGGTGGTTGAGTGGGTGAGTAGGTGGGTGGATAGGTGATTGGGTGATTGGGTGAGTGGTTGAGTGGATGAGTGGGTGGGTGGATGGGTGATTGGGTGGGTGGGTGGTTGAGTGGGTGAGTAGGTGGGTGGATAGGTAATTGGGTGAGTGGTTGAGTGGGTGAGTAGGTGGGTGGATATGTGATTGGGTGAGTGGTTGGGTGGTTTAGTGGGTGAGTAGGTGGGTGTGATTGGGTGGGTGGGTGATTGAGTGGGTGAGTCGGTGGGTGGATGGGTGATTGGGTGGTTGAGTGGTTGAGTGGGTGAGTAGGTGGGTGTGATTGGGTGGGTGGGTGATTGAGTGGGTGAGTCGGTGGGTGGATGGGTGATTGGGTGAGTGGTTGAGTGGGTGAGTGGGTGGGTGGATGGGTGATTGGGTGGGTGGTTGGTTGAGTGGGTGAGTAGGTGGGTGGATGGGTGATTGGGTGGGTGGTTCAGTGGGTGAGTAGGTGGGTGGATAGGTGATTGGGTCGGTGGGTGGTTGAGTGGGTGGGTGGATGGATGGGTGATTGGGTGGGTGGTTGAGTGGGTGAGTAGGTGGGTGGATGGGTGATTGGGTGGGTGGTTGAGTGGGTGAGAGGGTGGGTGGATGGGTGATTGGGTGAGTGGTTGAGTGGGTGAGTGGTTGAGTGGGTGAGTAGGTGGGTGAATAGGTGATTGGGTGGGTGAGTAGGTGGGTGGATGGGTGATTGGGTGGGTGGGTGGTTGAGTGGGTGAGTAGGTGGGTGGAGAGGTGATTGGGTGAGTGGTTGAGTGGGTGAGTAGGTGGGTGGATGGGTGATTGGGTGGGTGGTTCAGTGGGTGAGTAGGTCGGTGGATGGGTGATTGGGTGGGTGGTTCAGTGGGTGAGTAGGTCGGTGGATGGGTGATTGGGTGGGTGGTTGAGTGGGTGAGTAGGTGGGTGGATGGGTGATTGGGTGGGTGGGTGGTTGAGTGGGTGAGTAGGTGGGTATTGGGTGATTGGGTGGGTGGTTGAGTGGGTGAGTAGGTGGGTGGATGGGTGATTGGGTGGGTGGTTCAGTGGGTGAGTAGGTGGGTGGATGGGTGATTGGGTGGGTGGTTGAGTGGGTGAGTAGGTGGGTGGATGGGTGATTGGGTGGGTGGTTGAGTGGGTGAGTAGGTGGGTGGATAGGTGATTGGGTGGGTGGTTCAGTGGGTGAGTAGGTGGGTGGATACGTGATTGGGTGGGTGGTTCAGTGGGTGAGTAGGTGGGTGGATAAGTGATTGGGTGGGTGGTTCAGTGGGTGAGTAGGTGGGTGGATAGGCGATTGGGTGGGTGGGTGGTTGAGTGGGTGAGTAGGTGGGTTGATGGGTGATTGGGTGGGTGGTTGAGTGGGTGAGTAGGTGGGTGGATGGGTGATTGGGTGAGTGGTTGAGTGGGTGAGTAGGTGGGTGGATGGGTGATTGGGTGGGTGGGTGGTTGAGTGGGTGAGTAGGTGGGTGGATGGGTGATTGGGTGGGTGGTTGAGTGGGTGAGTAGGTGGGTGGATGGGTGATTGGGTGGGTGGTTGAGTGGGTGAGTAGGTAGGTGGATAGGTGATTGGGTGGGTGGTTCAGTGGGTGAGTAGGTGGGTGGATAAGTGATTGGGTGGGTGGTTCAGTGGGTGAGTAGGTGGGTGGATAGGCGATTGGGTGGGTGGGTGGTTGAGTGGGTGAGTAGGTGGGTGGATGGGTGATTGGGTGGGTGGTTGAGTGGGTGAGTAGGTGGGTTGATGGGTGATTGGGTGGGTGGTTGAGTGGGTGAGTAGGTGGGTGGATGGGTGATTGGGTGAGTGGTTGAGTGGGTGAGTAGGTGGGTGGATAGGTGATTGGGTGGGTGGGTGGTTGAGTGGGTGAGTAGGTGGGTGTTTGGGTGATTGGGTGGGTGGGTGATTGAGTGGGTGAGGAGGTGGGTGGATGAGTGATTGGGTGGGTGGTTGAGTGGGTGAGTAGGTAGGTGGATGAGTGATTGGGTGGGTGGTTGAGTGGGTGAGTAGGTGGATGGATGAGTGATTGGGTGGGTGGTTGAGTGGGTGATTAGGTGGGTGGATGGGTGAATGGATGAGTGGTTGAGTGGGTGAGTAGGTCGGTGGATGGATGATTGGGTGGGTGGTTGAGTGGGTGGGTGGATGGATGGGTGATTGGGTGGGTGAGTAGGTGGGTGGATAGGTGATTGGGTGGGTGAGTAGGTGGGTGGATAGGCGATTGGGTGGATGGGTGGTTGAGTGGGTGAGTAGGTGGGTGGATGGGTGATTGGGTGATCGGTTAATTGAGTGAGGATCGAACCACAATCTCCTGCGTACCAGACGAGCAGGTTAACATCTCCTAGCCACCGTGATGATGATGAGACACAAAAACTCCAGATATACAGCAGCAGGTGTCAAGGGATCGGGCTCAAACCCACGACCTCCTGCGTACCAGGCGAGGTAGTTAACATCTCCTAGCCACCATCATAGCTCCCCCTCCCCCCCCCGATATAATTTCATTCGACCTCTCTTCGCCGCGAAGGATATTTCCGTGCAAGCGGCAACAAAGTGTGGCCGTCCCGGCCCATCGCCCGCGATCGCCTGCCGACTCCGAGGCCCCGGCGAGGCGTCCACGAGGCCGCCCTGGGGGTGCCCGCGGCGCGTCGCGGCCGTAGGAAAATCCGTCGGCCGAGCGACTTCTCCCTGGACGCCCCGCCGCTCCCGGGGTCGTCGGGGTCCTCATCCTCCTCCTCGGGCTCCTCGGGGTCCTTGCAGTCGTCCGGCTCCTTCCTGCCCGTCGAGGTGCGTGGGGGGGTGGGGGACGATCCACTGAGGGACGTGTCGTGTAGGGGGGGGGGGGTCGGTCCGCGTTCTTGACCCTCGTGCCCCCGACTGGGCGACAAAGAGCTTCATGGCTCATCGGATTGCTCCCGGGGTGAATACTTGCAGGATTCTGATTCTGGATGAGCGCAGCGTGGGTCTCATCCGTGTCGCGTTGAGGTCACCGCAACTCGTCCGCCCGCCCGCTCGCTCGCTCAGTTACCTATACAGCTACTCATTCACTCATCCACTCAATTACTCAACCACCCACTCACCCTCCCACTCACGCATGCACTCACCCACCCACCCACCCACTCACCCACCCACCCACCCACTCACTCACCCACTCACTCACCCACGCACTCACCCACCCACTCACGCACCCACTCATGCATACACTCACCCACCCACCCACGCTCTCACCCACTCACTCACCCACACACTCACCCACACACTCACGCACGCACTCACCCATGCACTCACCCACCCACCCACTCACCCTCGCACTCACCCACCCACTCACTCACCAACCCACTCATGCATGCACTCACCCACGCACTCACCCACACACTCACCCACCCACTCACGCACGCACTCACCCACCCACCCACTCACCCACTTATTCACCCACGCACTCACCCACCCACTCACCCACTTATTCGCCCATGCACTCACCCACGCACTCACTCACCCACCCACTCACGCATGCACTCACCCACGCACTCACCCACACACTCACTCACCCACCCACCCACGCACTCACCCACGCACCCACTCACCCACGCACTCACCCACCCACTCACCTACCCACTCACCCACTCACCCACCCACTCACCCACGCACTCACCCACGCACTCACCCACCCACTCACCCACTCACTCACCCACTCACTCACCCACTCACCCACCCACTCACCCACCCACTCACCCACCCACCCACTCACCCACCCGAGTGCGAGGAGCGAGCGTTGCGCGGCAGCGTCACAGCGTCACGGGTCGACATCATCCCTCCATTATTGTTGTTGTTGCCGTTACGATTAACACAACAACAGCAGGGGGCGCGATGCGTAACATACAAACTCCACCACGTGGCAGGGCAACGCTGCTCAACCGTCACCACAAGTTGAACCGACTCCGAACAACGAACACAGGCGCACGTCACCGGCACGCGCGGCTTTTAACCTTTGACCTGCCCCCCACCCCCAACCAAAGGTGGCGGTACGCTCCAACATTCCGATGGCGATGAGGGGGATGGTGCTGGAGGTGACGGGGCGCGTCACGACTCGCGCGTCCGACGTCGACGCGTCCGCCGACGCCGCTACCGGAGCTACCGGCGCTACCGGCGGTGTCGCCGGCGGTGTCGCCGGGCCGCCCTACCGCGGCCGGCCCTTGTGGTCTTCTCGCTCGGCGTGGGGGGGCGGCGGTGGCGGTGGCGGTGGTTCGGTGCCCCCCCCCACCATGCAGAGGGAGAAGGCGTTCATCTGGTGACTCTCGCTATCTCTCACCCGGAGCGTTACGGGAAGTCCGCCTGCCCGCGTGCCATTTCACCGTTTTCGTTGTTTGGGAAACACTTGGCATGTTACACCGTTGGAACCTCATTTGCCAGTGAAAAATATGATAATTGGTTTTGTTACCCTTCTATCTGGCAACAAAACTGACAGCTTTTTTTTTACAAGGAGTCATGTTTGCATAGACCACAATACCTGCGGACGGAATGCAAACAAAAAACACAACTCTGATAATATATGCACTGTCCTTGAAGTTGATTGGTCCACACCCGAGACAGCTTTCCTAAGAGCCTAGTCTCACATGGTGTTGGACCAGGCTCTAAGGAAAGCTGTCTCGGGTGTGGACCAATCAACTTCAAGGACAGTGCATACATTATCAGAGTTGTTTTTTTTTGCATTATGACTGCAGGTATTGTGGTCTATGCAAACATGACTTCTTGTAAAAAAAGGTGTCAGTTTTGTTGCCAGATAGAAGGGTAAAAAAACAATTATCACTCGGCATGTTTTGTCTACTTTTTATAGTCACCCCCCCCACCTCCCTTCGTAGCCGACGCGACGATCCGTCGGTTGTTTGTTTCATGGGGCCGTGGCCACGCCGGGTTGGTTTCACGGCAAAGTTCTCGTCGGGTGGTGGAGGGCTCACGACGACGACGACAAAATGTCGGAACAAAAAAACACTACGCCACGTGGCCAAAACCCGAAACGTGTCAATGTGCACGTTGGCTTGACACGGATTCGCTGTTGACAGCCGGGTCGGGTTCGCTGCGGTTTAAACGGTTTGGCGAGGTGATGTGTCGTAAGACCCCTCCACCACCTGACGCGGCTCGCTCGCTGCGAGCAAATGCAACAATGATGACGATGTCAACTCGTGGCCGAACAACAAACGTCAATCTCGAGCCGAGTTTTGTTTTTACTTTTTTTGTTACTTTTTTTTTTACTTACTCAAATTGTACATGTTGTGGATTTGCTCTCCAACACTGCGGTGGACTGAAGTAGTATACTACACTATACACTACACTATACACTAGACTATACACTACTCTATACACTACTCTATACACTACTTTATACACTACACTATACACTACTCTATACACTACTATACACTACACTATACACTACACTATACACTACTATACACTACTATACACTACACTATACACTACACTATACACTACACTATACACTACGCTATACACTACACTATACACGACACTATTCACTACACTATGAACTAATTGGCGCGTTGTTGACGTAACAAACCTCACTTTGGCTGTGTCGGGTGGTGGATGCTTACGACACAACATTCACACTTACGCCATCAAACGCAAACACGTTTATTGTGACGAATTCACGAGAGCTCGGGTTAGAGAAGAATCGTGCACGAGCCCGGATTGCGTGAGGCTCAGCTCACTGCCGTGCGCTCGGGAACGATGGAATGGCGAGTTGCGACAAAGCCGGCAAAATCGATTCAGTGAAGGGTTTACGGCCGCCCCCCCCCCCGCCGATTTTTTTTTTTTGCGGAGGACACGGAAGCAAATGGGCAAAACGAGCGTGTGGCAAGAAGACAATCGTGGGATAGCTTGTTTTTTTGGCCCGTATCAAAGTGTGAACAAGTATAAGCCGTAAAAACAAAGTTTTTCACTATAAATCCTTTATATGCGTGGCGGCTAGAGTCCTCTCGTCCTCTGGCTTGAGATGGCTGCCACCTATGGGTCAGATGATTGCATTGCACCATTAAGCAATTGGTGATTGAATATAATATTTTTGTCTTAAAAAGTGTAAAATTTTGGGAATTTTTTTTTCACGAACATTAATTGTCACGCACAACGAGTCTATGTGGAAAATGTCAGCTCGATTGGATCACGGGAAGTGGGTTAAAAAACGACCGAAAGATTTGCACGGTCCTAAGCAAGCAAGCAAGTGAACTTAATATAAAGGATTTAAAAATAAGACGAGGTTTTTACCCTTTCTGGCAATAACACATGTGGTGTGTAAGGTGTTCAGACAACGAATAGAAAACTCTAGCAAGGAATCAAAGTACAATACGGCATTAAGCACACGCGGTACGTGTGGTGAGCATGCAAATAAAACACGCTGTCTATATAGATATAAAAGGGAAATTTGTGAATATGTGTGTCTGTTCTAAATGTTTAGCATGCAACAAACTTGGGGGGGGGACACACCCCCCCCCCCCCCCCCCCCAATATTCAAATATGCTCAAAATGTCCCCCTCCAATATATTGCTATAAAATAGATTTCTGTTAATATGATTGTGGTTATGGTTGTACTTTATCAATCCCGAATCTCTGCCATTACAAACAATGAAACAAGAAAAGGTAAAAAAGAAAAAACAGAGCAATGCAATACAATACACTATTAGACATTATTGTTAAAAATAAATAAAAAGTCCATCCCATGTGTTAGTGACTTTTTAAAATATTTTCGGCAGGAAATTCGTTTTTAAATTTAGATTTTTTTTTTCAAGGGGGGAACCCCCAGACCCCCTGGAAGATTTGTCCCCCCCAATGTTGTTGACTCCATGGCTACGGACTTGTGACACATATTGTCAGAGCACGTTTGTGTTTGCATGCTCACCACCGCGTGTGGCCAACGCAGAACTTGATGCCTTGCGGGGAAAATAGAAGAGTTTCTAGTTGGTGTTTGAACATTTAAACACCGCGCAACTCCTGTTTGTATTGCCGCAAGAATGTTTGCAAGGGCAGGTGACCTGCCCAACGCACTCTGCTCTCGCCAAAGCGACCCGCACAAGACGGCCACGACGAGACGCTAGGGACACTCCGATTAGCGCGGTTGGATACGCACGGTGCGAAAGAGATGATGCAACACCTCACGTACGTACGCACGTGGGTACGTACGTGAGGTGTTGCATCATATTCTCAGTTTTTTTTCGGGAAAGTCACCTGAAGACGGAAGCTTGTGTTGCCTCCGAAACGTCGTGATTTTTATTTTATTTTTATTTTACTTTTATTAATTAATTTTTTTTACCTACGTGACTTTACCGAAAAAAACCTAAGAATATGAATCCTTCCAGTCACGGAAGCTTCAAATCTAGAATTGTTGCATCATCTCCGCGAGAGGTTTTCGTTGTCCCTTTCACGACTCACGAAGCCCGATGCGTGAAACACTTTGGTGGTGGAGCTGTAACAGCAATGAACGTGATGATGTCATCTTCTTGGTTCTTTCGGTAAAGTCACGTAGAATGGAAATAATAAAATAATAAAAATAAAACATAATAGGTCTGTCGGGAAAACAGCGTCTGAACTGACGCTGTCTCCCCGACAGACCTGTTCTTCACCTGAGGACGGCTGCTTGCGTTGTGGCCGAAACTTCGTGAGAATTCTTTTATTGTTTTATTTGTATTATTTTATTATTTCCATTCTACGTGACTTTACCGAAAGAACCAAGAATATGGCCACGTTCAGTTTCAAAGACAATGACATCTTTCTTCTTGGTTCTTTCGGTAAAGTCACGTAGAATTGAAATAATAAAATAATAATAAAACATAATAAAATATAATAGTATTTTATTTATTATATTATTTTATATTATTATTTTATTATATTACTTTATTATATAACATAATATTATTATATTATTTTATTATGTTTTATTTTTATTATTTTATTATTTCCATTCTACGTGACTTTACCGAAAGAACCAAGAATATGGCCACGTTCAGTTTCAAAGTCAATGACATCTTTCTTCTTGGTTCTTTCGGTAAAGTCACGTAGAATTGAAATAATAAAATAATAATAAAACATAATAAAATATAATAGTATTTTATTTATTATATTATTTTATATTATTATTTTATTATATTACTTTATTATATAACATAATATTATTATATTATTTTATTATGTTTTATTTTATTATTTTATTATTTCCATTCTACGTGACTTTACCGAAAGAACCAAGAAGATGAATCCCTGTGGTCACGAAAGCTTTAAATCGAAGTGATCATGTAATTTACGTGATTAAATTTGTTTTATCATTCGCAGACTTTTGTCATATCTGCCGCTGGACGAAGGCTTCCTCACGCTGCGTCAGTTGTAGGGGGAAGGGGGGGGTGGGGTTGATTGACCATACTTCACCACTCTGGTCATTGCGGCTTGGTGCAGTGGGGGGGGGGGGGGCCCGCATTGGACTCGAACTGGGAGGGGACCGTTTCGTGGCTGCAGCGCGACAGCCGACAACAGCAACAGCCTCAGCAGCCACAATGAGACACGCGACGGTGATGATGACGATGATGATAATGATGATGATGACGATGACGACGATGATGATGACGATGGTGATGATGATGACGATAATGATGATGATAATGACGACGATGATGATAATGATGACGATGATGATAATGATGACGATGATGATGACGATGATGACGACGACGAAGATGATGATGACGATAATGATGATGATAATGACGACGATGATGATAATGACGACGATGATGATGATAATGATGATAATGACGATGATGATGATAATGACGATGATGATGATAATGACGATGATGATGATAATGACGACGATGATGATGACGATGATGACGACGATGATGATGATAATGACGACGATGATGATGATGATGATAATGACGACGATGATGATGATGATGACGACGATGATAATGACGACGATGATGATGACGATGATGACGACGATGATGATGATAATGACGACGATGATGATGACGATGATGATGATAATGACGACGATGACGACGATGACGACAATGATGATGACGATGATGACGACGATGATGATGATGACGATGATGACGACGATGGTGAAGGTGATGGCAGTGACGGTGATAATGTAAAGTGTCAACGATGACAGTGTCAATTGCGACAACAACTGGACACCTGTGAAACAAAGAGCTTTACAGCTCATCGGATTCCTCCTGTACAAATAAATATTCTGATTCTGCATCAGTATAATCATCAACACATTCCTGCGGAGGGAGCTGGTAGGAACGTTGGGTTGCTCGGTCAATTGCCAGGGTCAACGGCGGCGTGGTGTATTCCGCAAATATGCCCGACTGTGAGGGCGGGCACAAGCCGGCGTGAGTAGGTTAAACGTTGAGTTTCATAAGGGCACCACGGGGTGACCAGCCCCTCCCCACCCAGCCCCACCCCTCCCACCCCCCCAGCCAGCCCCACCC